TGAGTTAAACGAATTGTTTAATAACTTTTTGCTGAAGTATGATACCTGTTTGTATATGGATAGATTTTTACATATATGTGCACTGTGTATAGTTTATACATTGGTTCTCAGATGAGTCTGAAGGTATATTGTTATTCAGTTATTTGTATGTATTGTTTTATCCATTTCGCTGAGTATGATGCCTGTTTGTATCTAGTTGTGGATGGTTGTGAGAATATAATTTTAGAGATTACATGTTTGCTAATTTTAGAGATGATAATGTATCAAATAATAATTTTCTTGTTATGATTTTGTAGAAAGAGATTTACTTGAGTGGTTGGTTGGTCTTGAGCCTGTTCAGGATGGATATGATAATGAAAGAGGTGATCAAGGTGATAGGGCAGAAAGTGATGACGTTTAAGTGAGAAGATGAAAGTGATGAGGAGGAAATCGCCCACGCTGTAGCATTCAAGTGCATCAGTGATGCTCGTGAGAAAAACTACCAACATCATTTGGAAAATTAAATTAAGACATAATACCTCACTCTTTGTGAACAAGATAAAACAGTGAATGTAAGAATATGGCCAGCACCATTGAATCCAAGGGACCCAAGTGCAATAGGCAATTCCAGCTTTTAGTTTATTTTATTACAATTTTTCAGCATAATCAGCAATATGATACCTTACTTCCTGTTGCCCCCTGCACACATAAATTAAAAGCTGGAATTGCCTATTGACTAGACTATGGAACTGGATGACAACATGTTGGTTATATTGCTTTTCAACTATGCAAGTATTTGCACCCACTAATTGGTGCAGATGTTGTGGATGTCTATCGTCTATGTTCAGTGTATCAAGTATAGGGTTGACTTTCTTAATTAAAAAGGGTGGATTTTTTTTAAAGGAGGGGTGGAAACCTTTCAGGGGGGGCAAGCAGCACCACTGAGGGAGCTTTTTACAGGGGTTTGGCATTAGGGTTAAAGAATTTTGAAGCAAAATTTTGGTGGGGTTTAACACTTTATAAGAGGAGTTAGAGAGATTCTAAGGGGGGGGGGTTAACCCCTCCTAAAGCCCCCCCCCCAGGGAATCCGCCCATGATTTAATCCAAAAATTTTCATAATGAAACCTGGTGAGTGGAGACTCAAGTGGTAGGAAAAAGCATGATGGATTTATATAATAAATAGCAATTAGCTATGTTTAACAAGTTATTAGTGCATTTATTTTAATTGGCTAACTTTTTTGTTTTTTTCCAGCATTTTTAAACAAACCATGTTATAAATGATATAACTGGGTATATCTAATTAAAACAATCTGTCATGTACACTCATGCAAATAAGACTAAGTACATAAATAACAACCTCGTACCCAGGGGAGAAAAGACCCTGGTAGATGCTGGTCACATGATCTGCTAAAATCTAGCAGATTTTTAATTAGCAATCCAGGATGAGGTCAATAAATATTTGATATTTGGATGATTTTTATATGTTAATTTATAATTTGCATTTTGTATGATTGTCATAAAGGAATTCAAGATAGTTAATTAGAAATCTGCTAGATTTTAGCAGATCACATGACCAGCATCTACCGGGGTCTTTTCTCCCCAAGAGGAAGGACTCTGGGTACGAGGTCGCATAAATAACTGTAAAAATGTACTTTAGTAAATGAATAATTTATCCATACACTTGATCTACTTTGTGAGTATTTTTTCCAATTAAAATTGATGCAACAATAAAACAAGAAGATGTCTATTTATATATTTATTAAATTGATCCGAGATCCCAACAATAACATGCTACTTAGGGAGTGTTCATTATTTATGGGGGGTGGTAAATGGGAGGGGGGAGGGGCAAACAAAGTTTTACCCTTTTTACCCAAACAAAGTTTTAACATAGAGAAAGGGGGGGGGGGTAAAAAAGTTTTTGAACTTAAATACCATTTCTAGAGTTCTGGTTTCTATAATCACAAATAGCAAAAAAGACTCTGAAAATGCCATTTCCAATGATCTAGAGACTCAAAATTTTCAAAATTTCCCTGCTCTGTGCCAACCATGGTAGTGCCTTGTGGGAGTGGTGCCCACTAAGTTTAACAAGCTTCCTACCCCCTGAGTGACCCAGCTGTGGTATTTACATAAACATACCATGCAAGTACACTTAACTGATCAGATTCGGTCTATCAAAGCACAATATAACGCTGTATATCCAAAAACCTGTTTGAGAAAATGCTCACATTTCAGTCCTGGGGAAAAATACAAAAAAAATTTCCCCAGACTCCCCCTACTAATACATACAATACCACACCAAACTTTTTGTCACCAACAACCATCTGTCATCTCTCCACACTCAGTATAGTATGGTCCCTTTTTGTAGATGCCCACCCCCCAGACAAGTTCTTAAAAAAAAGCCCCGTGTTCAAATAATTTCACTGTATGAAGACGGACCATGGGTTAGGGTTATGGTAGGACAAATGTTGCATTGCAGTAGTAACACATAATATATATTTTTTAATCATATATGGTTTAATCATATTCACCAGGGTAAAACATCATGAGCTAGATTTAAACAGATTGTCCTAATATCTAACTTTACCTGCAATGTATGCCTGTTTCATTGCTGTTAATTTTTCAATCCACACTGGGGGGGGGTCAGAAAAGTTTCTACTTTTAAGAGGGGGGAGGCACAAAAAGTTTGCCTTCAATCTGGAGAGGAGGGGTCAACGAAGCTTTTAATCCTTATTTTCCCCATTTACCAACCCCCCTCTAAATAATGACCACTCCCTTAATTTGTTTATATTAATTATATATGATACATATGATAATACAATAAAAACTTGTTTTATTGCTGTAAAACAAGTGGAGCTCTCTGATGGTTTGAAATGGGCTGTTATGACACTGATTTGTCCATGCTGAGGATTCCGCAGCTCGATTTGCCACAAAAACCCATAGATATCTATGCAAAAACCCCAGGATCAGGAGATCAGCTCGTCTTGAAATACGTACACGATCCAGTCGCGTCGGCCAAAGACAACAAAACTTTGAAAATCGCACAGATATAAATTCTACAAAAATATTAAAACAACTCCTAAGTCTTCTAAATAATATTTTAGCACTTTAACAAAAATTCATTGAAAATATCATCTTTGATGGCGTAAATTCTTTCCACGGTATTAGACGCCATTTTAGCGAACGTCGAGTTGACAGTAGTCACTTCAACGGTCAATATCTCGAAAACTGCCGGGGGATCACCGGGATCATTCCAGCAGATTTAAAGCTTATATATTTTTCTTGACGACTACCAAAAATGAAGAAAATCGAACCATGGGAATTCTAGATATTTCATTTTAAACATCGTAAACATATTTAGACTTGAGTCAACACGTCGCGGGGAGTCGACTAACTTCAAACATCAAAATAACATTGAAAATAAAGTTTACCTGAGAGATTTTTGCAGATATCGCCAGATCTTTAGTAGTAGTACTACAACACTTGAGATTTTGCAAGAAAATTTTAATATTAATATTTTTTTCCGATTTATTTTCCGTCGAATGCAAATTTTTCTGTCCAAATTCTGCAGATAACACGATGGAAAATAGAGCGATCTCATTGGTCGAGAGCTCACGTGACAACTCGCTAATTAGCTGTCCAACCTCCTCTGTACGATACCTATGCATGCCGAAAGTTTACTTGCATGATAATAATTCGAAAATGACATACACATAGAGAAATGCAACTAGTTATTCAAAATCAGTGTAAGGGGCCTGGGAACGACTATATTGCCTTGACAACGAAATTAGAAGAATTTCCCCATGCGTCTCATCATGTACTATCTGTATGCAAAATTTAATTTCATTTGAGCCAATAATAACTCAGCTATGCTTTAGTTTACTATTCAATAAACATACTTACCCAGCTTATGATGTCACACATCGTGCAGAATCAGCAATTTATATTTTGCACATTTTTGCGTATAACTTCGGAACCCGATGAGATAGAATAGAGCATTAAACGGCCAATCGGCTTATTTTTTCAAGCTCTTTCAGACGAAGCAATAAGATAGATGAAGCAATTTTCATTGCCCATACCCTTTAAGAAAATTGGGTGTGGTCGTTGGGAAAAGTGGGCGTGGTTTGGGCGTGGTTCGAACATAACTCCGAAATCATAACTCTCTGAGATAACTCTCCACTTCATACCTCTCCGTTTAGCCGGTTCCGCTTCTGCCACACATGCGGTGGCTTAAAAGGTCTAAAACTGTTTATTCTACTGATAAATAACGGGTTTTTTATTGACTGGGATTTCAATAACTCGGACTGGGATTTCTAATAAAAATCCAACTGGGACTGGGATTTTGCCAAAATTTCAGGTGGGAAATGGGATTGGGACCCCCCCTTCAGGACCCTCCGTGCAGGATCAGACAATCCTGCACGGGAAATTCTGAACAGAAATTCTTGCACATAATTTTACAAATCAAAGTGACTATATGACCGGCAGCCGGTCACGGTTTATCAAATACTAAATGGCCGGCAGTCTAGTGACTATAGTTGAATATGAAAACTTTTGTTTGCGTAAACTTTTACCGAGCTTGCCGTTATCTCATACGGCAAGGGCGCTGCGTGCGGAAAGTTAAACGCAGTCGGGGTCGGGATTTGTTTTGTCTGACTTAGCATTGTTTTTTCTTAAAATGTTTTAAACTTTTTTTTCCCACTTTTCTAACTCTCAAAAGGTTAGGGGTTAGGGTTAGAAAAGGGTTTGGGGTTGGGGATAGGTTTATAAAAAATCAACTTTAACAATAGTCACTAGACTGCCGGCCATTTAGTATTTGATAAACCGTGACCGGCTACCGGTCATATAGTCACTTCGTTTACAAATATACTCGCATTGTAAAGTTTCATTGTACGATACCTTTCGACTTTGAAGTAAGTTTCCAATTATTGAGACGTTGGTTTAGTTGTATGAATAAATTTCTGATCGATACATTGCTATTCAGCAAGTAGCAACGCGTATAGCGTTGAAATTCATCAGACCATGGCATGTAAGTACAACATCTCTCGCTTCAAAGTTGGTCAAACGCTTCGCAATCTTCACATATTCAGCTGGAGAATCTTCAAAATTACTTTGGCTCTCTGTTTAGCGGGTTTTCCATTTCAAATTTCGTCTATTTTATCGAGAAAGTCCCTGTATTTTCGCTGTATATTTTCGCGAATTTGCGATCAAATTCTGTTCACATATGTTGTTGTTTTCAATAGCGTGGACTGGCGATTCTCTGATTGGTTAATTCACGAATGTTGTGAGAACTGCACATTTCATCAGTAATTTTAATCACGTTAAGCGTCGTTTCACTGTAGTAATTTTATAAAACAATTACCAAATGGTTTTCCCGTGCAGGATAGCATGATCCATGCACTTGGGATGTTGCTCGACTTTCGTCAAGTCGAAAGTCTCGCAACATCCCGCGTGCATGGATCACGCAATCCTGCACGGAAAACCATTCGGTATTCCTTTAGTATACGATATGTTATAAATAATAAGCACTGTGTCGTTACATCATTGAAAGGAACCATTTTATCTTCATCCGTTCCGTGTTTTTTTCGCATTTCCGTTCTGTGGTCCGCTCCATCCGCTTCCGCATTTTAACCTAATTGTGACATGTTTTACAATAACACAGAGAAGGGTGGAAGCTCTTCCCAGCATGCATTGCAACTCATTAATATTCACATTTCACAATCATGATTTTTCACAATGTTAGTTGGAAAAGTTGTGGATATTTATTTCGATATTTCGCCACGAAAAGTTCGTGTTTTTGAAGGTAAGTTTTTATAATTGTTTTAAATATGAGTCAAATTAACGATTTTTGCTTCATTTGGTGTTTTAAAGCAATTTGTATTGACCTGTTTTCTGGGTCAATGCACAAGTGTCAAAAGTGGCTTTCAAAACCGCTGGGGACAATTGGGTTTATAAATGAGTAAATTAAATAAAAGACACACCATCGTATTCAGGAAGAGTTGTTCTTTCTATGAGAAGTTTAAAAAATGAATTGTCCCCATCAAACTGACGAGTAATCGCGGTTTGAAAATGGGGCATTTTCGGTATACTATGTCGCCCATCGCGGGAATAGTCGACTGCATGGGAATTATGGCGCGAGGAAAATATTTACTGTACGAGTCATTATTTTTGTTTTATTTCGAAGCATGGGCATATATGTCGATCGTTCTTGAGTTTAACTGCTGCATTTAAGTTAAATATACATTATTTTACCATTATTTTTATAGAATTCGAATATATTTTGTGAAAATGGAATCTGACAATGATGGCAATGTTGTTTATATTGTTGATCCTAAGTATGGGAAAAGTTCAACTTATGAATTTAAAGCTGATTTAGAACTGTTATTGAACAAACTGTTCCTACATCTTGCTTTGGCAAGTGATTCAACTGATTCAAGCAATGAAACTATTGAACCAGAATAATAAGAGCAACCTGTTATGTAAATTTGCCCATACCAGCCTCAGATACATATTTTAGTATGCACACATGTAAATATTGGTGTATTGGTGACATGAAAATGTTGCAACAAATCTTAAGTATTTACTTTATATATTGTAACTTTGAATAAAGCATTTTATTAACATCATTTGTGTATGACGACTACATTATGACCACCAAATATCAGGGATGGATTTACTGGGGTGTGTGCACCCCCCACCTAGCCCTGGCCAGAGGGTATGCGAGGGGGGGGGGCTATTTTCATGATAAAGCAAAAAATATTATAGACAAAATGAGTAATTTGAGTAATAACATGATGATAAGTAAACTGTTTGTTAACAATTACAATACAGTAGTCAAGCAAGACTTTGCTGCAGTCAAGTAAGTTGATGGGCAGC